TGGTAGTCTTTGTCTTCGTAGTTGCCGAAGATGCCGCTGGCAAAATGACTACAGATGACTGGTGTGAGAAACAGCAAGAGCACCACTAATTGGGCCCAACTTCACGAGCAGCAGACCAGCTAGCACCCTGAAATATGTGCCACACTCACGGTCGCGGCAAGAAGAGCACCCAAGGGTCCCGGCATATGCCCTCAAGAGTTGGGAGTTTCGGAAACGATGCTGAGGCTAGAACGCGAAACCCTGGAGCACACGGAGCGTCTAGCTTAGTATAGAAGTCTAAAGAATTACCAATATAATATTGTTCCTTCGGGTTCCTGGATATACTTACACATGCGCTGGAGCATACCCTAAAACCCTATTACAAGTATGCTGGCCCTAAACCTTACGCCTTACACCCTAAATCCTATATTACGGCCAGCATACTACGCATGGCGCATCGCAATCTGACGATCTTTTGGAATGATCTTTTGGAATGATTTGAACAGTCCTGGGGCCATGTCCTCGATTTCGCACTTACTAAATAGACCCTAAACCCCTAAACCCCTAAGCGCAAACGTATTTAGGGTTTGTGGTCCACTAAACCCAAAACCCTACTGAGGCCATGCTTGGAAGAGGCAGCTCGAACTCAGGCTCATGAAGACTTAGTCTGAACTGTTGCTCTGTATCTCGGGCTCAGCCGGGGCGCTTTGTGCAGCTTTAGCACTAAATGGCAATCCTGAGAAAGATCATCATGGCAAGAACTAAACATGAATAGCAGACGTATATTTATTAGAATAACTACGAATAACAAGAATCGCAATAAGTAGTGTTGTTGCGTTTATAGTGGTTGGCACTTGGCTGTATGCCCGCTTGTTTAGCTCTTGGAGGGTCGGGGGACTTAGTAAGTAGGTACTAGGTACCTATAAGTACCCTTAAAGGGATCCTCATTGGCCTTTTGGTACCTATAACTCCATAAAACTACTACTTAGTAAGTCCCCCGACTCTCCAAGTAAGCCCTAAACCCTAAACCCCTATAGATCCCTTTAAGGAGCCCCTTAAGGAGCACCTCAAGCATCCCTTTAAGGAACGACTTAGTAAGTCCCCCGACCCTCCAAGCTACATGCCATGGTGTGTTGGGCCCTGAACACAATGTTGGAGAGAACCGAGACGGTAGGCTTATGGGGGTTCAGGGTTTAGGGGCTTAGGGTTCAGGGTAGTAGTTTTAGTACTGCTGTACTTTGGGACTAACACTCATTAGACTCTAGCAGCAATTAGTGATGCGACGAGGTGACTAGATACGAGGAGTATGAACCAGTCTTAACTATTGGTTAGAACACTTTACACCCTACACCGAAAATCCCCATATCACTCAAGATAAGAAAGCGTGTGCAACAACTGCCCATGGCATTCCTTCGGGTTGCCTATTAAACTTAAAACAGAATAGTTTATGCACATGTGTATTCCCACAAACCCTTTTGAGCTTATTCGGAAGCGCGGGTGGTGAACTTTTAGGAAGAAGGCAGCCGCAGGAGAACGATAGATACAGGGCGGTCTTCAGTCGGTGTCTGCACTAGGCAAGAGCTTCCCGCGAGCCCATTTCTGCGAAAAGACTACGTGGCAAAACTTGCGAACTGCATCGACGACCAGCTTGGCAATGTTTAGGGTTTGGGTTTAGGGTTTAGGGTTTAGGGTTTGGGTTTAGGGTTTAGGGTTTAGGGTACCTTCGAGCTGGGAAGGGAGCAATGGGAAGCAATACATCTTTTGGTACTCGGCGTGTCAGAAGAGGCATGACTCGTTAGACTCAAAACCGTAAACCCTTTCCTTTGTTCAGCACAGGCCTCTTTTTGCCAATGAGAGGACTGACTGGATCGGCTGGGAGTCTGGAAGCAAGCGCAAGTTGCGCACTCCGCACTATTTGCTGATATGTGCTGGGACATGCCGGCCTACAGTGTCCGTTGTAGCTCCTTGTTGCATTCTAGGTTATAGTATTTCGACGATACTTGGCAACCAAAAAGGAACTACAATGGAGGCTATAGGTGCAATTTTTTGTCAAATGTCCCAGGCTGACTCCAATGAATCTAGAGAGCTGCTGGTGATGAGAAGGAGTTTCGGAGCAGGTATAGGACCTTCCTACAGTGGTTCCATAGATGCACATTCATGCATGCGTATGTATATATATATATATATATATGTACACAGACATTGCATAGATGTACAAAGGTATGTATGCCTATAAATGTGAGTGTATATATATATATATATAGAGAGAGAGAGAGAGAGAGAGAGAGAGAGAGAGATGAATCACCAGCAGAAGATGTTGGCATATACTATTGTCATAGTGCAACTATGTTAACGAGCCCTGGGGTGGACGAATGGTGATTAAGCAGGCTGCTACAATATGATAGCCGGGAATGCGGCTTTCCAAGTAAGTTCACGGTGTCTTTGCATCACCTCGGTGTTGCAGGCAATGCAGCATGTTGTTCACATGCCGAAACCGTGAAGCCTAAATGCTGCTCTCAGAGGCCCTTTGTTTTGCAAGGAACCCTCGAAGGCCTTAGCCCTATAAACCTTTAAACTGCAAACCTTGATCGTGGTACTAAATCAACCCCGAACCCTTCAACCCCAAAGCCCTAAACCCAGAAAAGACGCTATGCTTGGAAGAGGGAGCTCGAACTCAGGCTCATGATGACTTTGTCTGCCCTTTTGCTCTGTATCTTGAGGGCTCGGCCGGGGGTTTTGTGGAGCTTTAGGACTAGGTAGCAATGCTGATATTATATTATAATGGTAAGAATGAGACATGAATAACAGACGAATACTAACAACAAAATTTTAATACCCACACCCAATCGTAGCAATAACATATAGTAGCAGTTTCTCATATTTGTTTATCACAACAACAATAGTACAGTTCTTGTGGGGGGTGTCATTCCGTAGTTGCCGAAAAACACTGGATACGGCGCGATTTTGAGTCGGCGTCTGTCCAGAAAAGAGCTTCCCCCCGAGCCCAGACTTTGTGCGACACGACCGCATGGCAGAATACGCAAACACGAGAAGACGGAAAAAAAGCAAAGCGCCACTCGCTGGCTGCACGAATCTGCAGGGGATCACAGGCAAGATCTTTCTCGAGACGCTGCTTCACAGTCCTAGAAAGACTGACATAAATAGCAAGCGCAGAAATAATGTTCGGCATTCTCTTTTCCTTCTAGGGATATCGATGGCCCATCAAGCCAATAAGCTACGATCAAGCAGATGTCGTTTTATTGAACTCTATCCCTCCAAGGACCTCAATAGTTAGGGCCCTAGACCCCTTCAGGGCCCCATAACGAGGTCCCTGCAGGCATAGGGTGAATCTTGACCTTCTCACCTCAATTGAGCCTTAATGGGCGCATAATCGACGCAAGCGGTCTCATTTCACTCACCTATAGGGGTCCATGTATTCATATAGCATATACTTGGGCCCCAATGTACTTAAATAGGGACTACATTGAGGCCAATGTACACGTATAACTACATGAGTACATGGACCCTTAGACCTAGACTGCAAGGTTTGTAATCCTGAAGCCCCAAAACCCTACGAGAACCTGAACTGTAAAACCCCTAAACCCTAAAACCCTTAAACCCTAAGCCCCTCACCTTCATCTCGAATCCTTGGTACCTGTACTTGCCCAGGGGATCAGGAGATTTAGTAAGCAGGCTACAAGTGAGTTAAAAGTACTTGCACGCTAACTGGGCTCATCCGGCACAGAGCTCGAAATATCTCCAATTATAACCTACTTGCTAAGTCCCCTAGCCTTATACTTTCTCCTACGCAGCTACCTAGGATTCTCTGATTTGCAAAACCCCCTGTAACACTAACCGCCCCCGATCCCTTGCGTTGTCTGTGTTTTGCCTTGCCACTAACTATTCCCTTTTTCTAGTCCTAGGTTCCTCATAAGGTTCCCTACCACCAAAAAGGGAGCCGGTTTTATTCCTAGGTTACTGGGCATCCTAGAATTTAGCAAGCCCAAAACCCGTGGGGGCTGTTGCGCCATTTCGAACCGAAGCTCTGGCGAGGGGAGGTTGTAGGGATTGTATTTTGGGGGTTGAACGGAAAGCGCGCTATCCGCGCTAACTCCTCAGCCCACACCTTAAGGACGAAATCTACCTTATAAGGGTCTAAGTTTCATATACCATATAGGGATTTATGTTATATGGGTTATAAGGCCCTTACTTTTGAGGGTCGTTTGGTCTTTAAGGCAACCCAAGCTCGACTCTTCACAGCCACAGCTGCCCGAGCTCCTTCAAAAGCCTGCCGTAGGATCCTACCGTGACTCCCACCGAGCCATGGCTGGAGAGCGAATCACCTACCGCTTGACTTTCATTGACGTGGCCGAGGACACTAAGGCACAAGGGCCTCAAACCCAAAGGCTCCATGTACCCATAGTATATACTTAGGCCTTAAAGGGGTTCCTATATACGTACTTTGGGGCCTAAGTGTATACTATACGGCTACATGGAGCCTTTGGGAAAAGGGGGGATACGCGTAGACTGGGTGAAGGACTCTTTACATTAAGACCTTCTTTTGTGACCACCCTCGCAACAAAATGTTGGCAGGATTACTTATAGGCTCCATAGTTGTTCCTTTTGGCATTACCTTATAGGATTCTAAATATTAGCCCCAAAGGGAACTACTATGGAGCCTATGGGTCCTTTACATGAGGACTCCTCTTTGTGACTCCCCTCCCCCAGAAAGCTACTAATAGTACTTTCGCCTTTGGACCCCAAACCCTACACCCGAAACCTGAAACCCTACCAGAAGCCCCCAAGTACCCTTTAAAGGATGATAACATTTCTCACTCAGAGGCAATATGGGGCTACAAGAAAGGGTATTTGGGGGTCTAGGTAAACCCTAAACCCGAAACCCTTATAAGCCCTAAACCCCAAAGATCCATTGAATTATGGAGCCCTTACAGGAGCCCTGAAGGAACCCTTATAGATCCCTTAAAGGAACCCTAAACCCGCAACCCCAAACTGTAAGGTGGATGGCGAAGGTCGTCGTGGTCGCGCCAGGAGCCTTTCCCCGCTGCGGGCATCCGTGGCAAAGTCCGAGACCCTGGCGGTGGATGCATCTCGGCCCTTTTTGAATCAAGGAGCGGATTTGAAGCTACGGTAATAATACCCATAGGCTCCATCGTAGTATGAACCCCCAAAAAGGAACAACTATGGAGCCTATGGGTGGGGGAAATAGTACTGGTTTTGGCTATAGATCCCTGTTCGGGTAACGTGAAGTGAGCTCTGTCATCAAGGCATGGGCACAGCGTCATCTTCGCACACTCCGGCAGGGGCAGGATGCAACAGTCTTCGATGCACCCGCACCAAACCGGGGCATCATCGGACACCCAACGTTGTGCAGCCGCCCATGCGTCTACTTTGCAAAGCAGGGGCAGTGCCCAAGTGGTGATGCCTGTGGCTTTTGCCATTGTCACCACTCCAGCGCCCCAAAGCCTGACAAGCACCAGCGGGAGTTGATGAGGATGATGCACTGGCTCGGGGTTTCCTCAGGAACCAAATTTTCCTGGTTGAGAAATCTCGGATTCTTCAACATGTAGCGGTTATCTTTGGGTCCAAGCGGCTCATCACCTAAATCCTTAGCCCTACATCAACCCTAAACCCTTCTTTTAGCAGGGCGGAGCTACTGTCTCTGATGGCAGAGCTGCTTCAGAAACGTGCCGAGCAAGATGGACTCGAGGATGCATTTTTCGCTGTGGCAGCCCCTTGGTACTGTAGGGGCATTAATGACTAGAATAGGGGTTCCTTATTAAAAGCATAGTCTAAAATACCCCCAAACCTCCCAAACCCTATTCTAATTCTTAAGGCCCCTATATTAGGTTTACCTTAACCTACCAAAACCTACTTTTTTGCAGGTTCTCACTATAAACCCTAAACAAAAATTTTATAGGGACCCTACAACGAAGTCAGTTTTGGTGGGTTTAGGTAGCAGGGGTCAGGGCGGTTACTTGCCACGTGCGATGCATGACTAGTTTAAGGGCCCGGATGCAGATTTTAGGGCTTCGTGTCTGAGGGTTCTGACCTGTTTCTTGAAGTCTTCGAGCTCAGACCTTAACCTAAACCCTCAACCTTTCAACCCCTAAATCCCTAAACTATAAACCCTAAACCCAGTCGAGGTGGTGGCTGTCCATGCAGGACTGCCAGGTGCTTCCACTGTTTTTTCCAAGCAGGAGTTTCGAAAGCTTCGACAACTTCGCCAGGTGGCCTGGCAAATGCTGGTTTCGTCTCAAGTTTTGTTCAAGGACTTTCTCAAGATAGGGCCTTATCGCAAATAATACGGCTTCCTCTTAATTGTACCTTCAACTCAGCTCCTTAACCAGAACCCAGAATGCCCGGCACTTTGCATTGAACAGTTCTGTTGATGCACAGAGCCATGCATTATGCCCCTCCCCATAACACGGAACATCTCATGATGACTCCTCAACTGACTGAGGTAGTTTAGGGCTTAGGGTTTAGGGTTTAGGGAGGGACTATGTACCAATTGGGTGCAAATCTCAGACCCTTGTAAACCCTAAACCCTAAGGTGGTTGGTGCGCGCCACTGTGAGGGCCGTAGCCAAGCTGTCATGCTGCGGGAGCTTAAAGCTCTGCAGAACAGTGCCCGGTAAGGGCAAACCAGATCTTCCAAATACGCTTTGCCTCGTAGTAGAGTAGGTAACCTTTAACTTTTGTTGGGTAGTATAGTCCCTATATAATGCCTATGTACCCAAAAAGGCTGGCCTTTAGTTCCCCATGATACCCGACAAGTAGGTCTAATTATAAGGAATGTCAAGTTTTCAATAGGATGACTGATCAACAGGATATTCCTTTACCTGGACCCTAAGGAACCTACTCTTGTTAGGGTTCCCTAATATGATTTCTTCCATAAGTCCTGAAAAAGGAAGGTTATTTGGGGGGGATAAGGTATACTTGAGAGATATATTGGAAGGTCTGAGAAGATGCCTTGCACTCCGCAGCTTCGTCCCACCACTCAGTTTCCGAAGCGACAGTGGTGCACCGAACCCCTTCCTTAAGGAGTAAGTAGGTAATAAGTAGAGTTATAAGTACCCGAAAAGGGACCCTAATTGGGGTTGTGGAACTTAAAACTCTCTAAATTAACTACTTAGTAAGTCCCACGATCCTCCAAGTAAGGACCGGATGGCCATCAAATGGTTTGGGGTTCAGGGTTTAGTCAGGGCCCTATTCCCTTATATCGAAAAGCCCCATATCGTCCCTGAACCGTACACCCTCTTAGGGTCGTCCTTCGGGTATGACTACCCGATGCTCATATCCAAACCCTAAACCGAGAAGTATGCCCATGCACTCATTGCACATCGCCGTCGCACGAAGCAGCACCGGTATTTTTTCCAAGATATAACCTTTAAGCCAGGAACCCCCAACCTAACCATCAAGGACCCTTCATTACGGGTGAGAGCGACGGCCCAATAGACAAAGCTACTCGTGCTGGGTTTTCGGCCCCAAATACTATATGTTCTGAATGGTTTCTGGTACCTACAACCTTAGTATAGTATTTGGGCACTGGGACTTTTAGGGACGTATACTGTGATCCGATATGATGCAACAGAAAAGGATAACAAGTTGATAAACCGGATACTGTAAAATACTAACCTGAGATGTAATACGCTTCGATTGTGGAAGCACCTGTCTACCCATATAGCCTTGCTAGAGTCTGTTAGAGTTGCAGTGAGGACGTGCTTCGGATCTGCGGCGCAGACCTCGTGATGTTAAGGCCGGTATGCATTTGCCGGTGCGTCATTGAGCTTAGCTCTGTACAGGATGCCTTCGTATCCTGGGAGCTGCGGCGCCAATGTTGGCACCGCACGGAAAGCTTCCCGCCTCAACCCTACACCCTATCCTGCCATGACATGAACGTATACACATGCAGTACACCATCCTGGGAAATCACCTTCAATTCCTAAACCCTACGTTCGCGCGGTCGGTGCTTTTAAATGCCCATTGCACGCAGACAGCAGCATGCGCTAAGAACAATGCTAAGCGACTCCGGGTGGTTTTGCTTTCAGGCTTTAGGATTTCAATGTCTTGGGATTTGAGGGCCATGCTGCTAAAGCCGCGGTGCCTAGCACGAGGGTCCTGGGTTGGCCCCCTATGGGTCCAACGGACTTGATCGTTGGGGTTAAGGTTCCTACTATAGTCTTTTGAGACAGGAGGCACATGGATGTTGTCAGCGCCATGTGCGTGTCAAGCCAGGCGTGGGATTGAGTGTTCTGTTATATCCGGAAGGTCCAACATTCGTGAATCTTCCGGATTCGATGGCGAGATGGCGTCTGTGTACACAGCGCGACATGCCCTGCCTGGGCACCCAGAGACTCCAATATCCCGTAATTACGGAATTATACCTTAAATCTTTGTAGGATCTCTATCGGAGTTTCTGAGCATCCGAATCTTTCCAGCATGTTTTCCAGCAGTGGATCCAAGATAGATCCAACCAGCTTGCAAACTGTAATGTAGGAGCCTGAATGAGGAATCCTGTTCCTCGACCCGATCCATAGGAACAGCCCGACAAAGGAGCCTAAGTTTCTGTTAAAGCGGTTCTTATAATGCAGATTTCACGCCGCTGACAGCGCTTGACTTGTTTTGTTTGTGATGTGTGCTTCGGCTGACGGACAAAGATCCTGCACTGCATTACACTACTGCAGTACGCCAAGCTCCTGGATTCACTATGAGACATTGCTGCTTGTGGGTAGTGCAGGATTATCTCCACGATCGGCGAAGCTGCTCACGTCACTATAATACACGAACAAGAACTTTTTGCTGAGCTGCTGCGTTTCTTCGAGCTGGCTTGCCATAGGAGTCTTGGTAAACAGTATTTGCATACTCAAAGTCGCTGTGAGAACAGGAACCCAAAGGCTCCATGTAGCCATGTAGTATACACTTAGGCCCCAAAGTACCTATATAGGAGCCCCTTTAAGGCCTAAGTATATACTATATGGGTACATAAAGCCTTTGGGGAAGCGCAAGACAGCATGTTTCATCCCAGCTGTCCGGCTCGCACGTGCCGGCGGGGAATTCTGCTGGTTTGTGTACTAGCCCGAGTGGCCCAGGTACCTAATAGTCATATACACTCCCCCAAATAGTAACCTACAGAACTACGACCCAGAACCCAAATACATATTTCTTGGATCATTTGGACCCTTGGGGTAGTCTTAAAGTCTTAGGTGGCCTTGCTAAGTATTGCGTGCTCCCTAATCCCTAAGCTCACCTAGAATTGTTTTGCACCTCCTTAGGCTCCTTGTACCCATGCAATATGTACGTAGACCTTTAGGAAGTTCTCCATATAGGAGTTTCCAAAAATCAGGGGTGCCTCATTTTGGAACCGCGGTAGGACGATGGATATTACAGGCATGTGTGAGTCGGCATCTGCTTCGGACAAGAGCTTCCCTCGAGCTCAGGTTTGAACGAAAAGACTACGCGGCAGATCTTGCGAATCGCATCCATGATCGACATCGCAAAATCTTCGAGCTGGGGCAGATGCAACAAATCTTCTAGTACGGAGTATGAGACGGAGGCATTGGACAGCCTTTTGTTCAATGCAGTCCTTTCTGTCTATGAGAGGACTGACTGTAGCAGCTCGGACTCGACAAACATTTGACAGCACATGTTGCTGGAGGGTCGGGGGCATTACTGAGCAGCTTATGAGTAATTACCGCAAGCCCAATTAGGATCCCTTTCACCGTACTTACAACTCCACTTATGACCCTCCAAGTGAGCGCACCTTACCGCTTCGTGCCGTGTGCTGTGACACGCCTGCAGTCTCCATCGTAGTACTTTTCTGGTTAACCAAGTTCATGTTGTACGGTCTTAACATATCTTTACCATAAAACGGTTTCAAAAAACGAACTACACTGGAGACTATAGGTGCGATTCATCCCAGATGCTCTAGACTCTAGACTCACTCCAATGAAACTAGAAAGGAGCCGGTGATGAGTAGGGGCTTTCGAGCTGCTACGATACGTTTTCGAATATGTCCACATACTGGAAACGTCTTACCCATAGGCTCCATAGTAGTTCCTTTCTGGCCTTACCGTATAAGATTCTAATTATGCATCCTAAAGAGGAACTACTATGGAGCCTCTACGTAATTATTCGGACAGTGTTTGGGATGTCGTTGTAAACTCATATCGGTTGTTCGGGTTATTGCATAGTCTTGAATAGAGCTTTCGAAGGAGTTTATGCTGTAACTTGTGACCTCGTTTAGGCTGGCAATGCAGCATGCTGTTCAGATCCCAAAGGCGTTAATCCTGCAATCTAACATAGCATAACCCTATACAACCCTATAGCCTTAAACCCTATACAACCTAAAACGTATACCCTAAACCCTAAACCGCACCCTAAACCTTCAACGATGTGTTCCAAATCCTAACAAAGCCATCCTTAACCCCAAACGAAGCCATGCTACGGTTGATGGACAGAATCCTGCATTACCCATAAGAAGCAATATAC